GGTGGAGGAGGGAGGGTGGTTGGGCTGGGAGGGTGTGGGCTCCCAGGAGCAGCCATGGCCCAGCACAGAGCCAAGACAATTACACGCCTAGTTTTGCTGATTGCATTAAAATCATTAGAATGAGGGATCTGAAAAATCATACATTAAGGGGTGAATTAGAAGGGGCTTTGGAGACCGACAGGCACCCCACAGTGCATCTGGCACAGCTAGCTCCGATCCGGTTCTGGAGGCAGGCACTTCACTCAGAGTCTCAGTGACCTTCACACCACCCTCCCTTCTTCTCTTTCCTTCCTCCCCAGCCCCCAGCTTGCTTGCAGAATTTTTGCATAAAGTGTTCCCCCTTGCTTCATCCACCTTTTTTCCTTTTTGCCTCTCTCACATTTCAAACTTTACCCGCCAGAACTGGATTCCTGGGTCATGTTAAGGAATAGGCCTGCAGGTGTATGCCTGTAATTCCAGTTACACAGGAGGCTGAGGCAGAAGGGTTTCAAGTTTGAGGCCTGCATGGGCAATTTAGCAAGACCCTGTGGCTCAGTGGAGAATGCTCACCCTAGTGTGCCTGAGGCCCTGGGCTCAATCCGAAACACCTGGGGATTGACAGGATGCGGCGGTAAGGTCTTGACTTTGCCAGTGGCAGACAGGCCGACCAAGCCCCCGTGGGACTTGTTCTTGGTCAAAGTGCCCATTCCAACATCTGTCCCAGGCCCAGGCCAGGGCAGCAGCAGGCCCAGAGACTTAGGCTGGGGTGAGGGAGCAAAGGGGCCAGACTGCGAGAGGCGGGTGGAAGGCCGCGTTGGACGAACCCAAGCCTGAGCTGCCCGTGCGAAGGCTCCAGCCTGTGTCCTGGGAGCCTGCATTCTGTTTGCCACTGGACTTCCTCCACTGGACCTTGCTCAGTCTGGAGGAGAGATGGCCAGGGTGCTGTCTGGGGACCTCGGGGCTCAAGTGTGGGCTGGGTGGGGTGAGCTGCAGCCCTGGCAGAGGGGCCTGTCTGGCTAGGGGGTCGGTGGAGAAAGGATGGGCCTGAGTGGGGGTGGAAAACGGAATTGCCAGCCGGGGATGAATGGATGGTGGAGTTTCTCTTTTGTAACTGGGAATAATTAAGATAGATGTGGGGATGGATTAGCTGTCCTGCAAGGTCAGGAGCGCATTGCCGGATCACTCTATTATTTTGCTGCGCCACAGCTACGCAGCTAACGCCTTTTTCATGATATTTTGAACATCCACGCAGAAAAAAAAAACCCAAGTGAGTGTGCGAGAGATACAAATGGATCGTTTGGTGGAGAAATACGTCTTCGTCACTGCCGCCAGGCTGGGATTAATTCGATTGAAGGCTCCTCCAGGCTCCGCCAGGGAGACGGGCTCAGGAAAGCAAGAGAGATTGGTTTGTACCCCTGGGAGCAGGATTGATGGGCCGGTCTGCCAGGCTGGGCTGGGGGCAGGGTGTAGGGCTGAGGCCTGGCCTTGGCCGGGGTGGCCGCCCTGACGGAGACGCCTGGACCGGCCTCAGACCTGAGGGGTTTCTGGATATGACACTGGGAAGACCCCAGGCTCTGGTTTCCCAGGTGGCTGAGGGACCAGTTCAAAATCGGAGGGAGGGGCCTGTTCTCCAGTGACACCTGTCTTTCGTGAATGACCGAGGGGAGTCCACTAGGGCTCATCCAGACTTAGGATCTGGACAAGGGAGCTGTGGCTCTCTAGTCTGCAGGAAAACAATTACTGGGCCCGCGTCAGGTCCCCAGTACTGTGCCTGTGGAAACAGCAGAACACAACCGGGAAGGCAACAACGACTGGATCATCCCAGCCCAGGGGACCTATACCACGGGGAGAGAACCTAGCCTAAGAGGCACCAGAGCACTTTCTTCTGGATGACAGCAGAGCTAGTTCATGGGCAAGGGCAACCAAGACAGAAGTGGGACAACAGGCAGAGGAGACAGCGTTTGAAGATCTGGAAGCCAGCAAGCTGGTAGAGAACTCTTCACCTGCACAGGGAAGGTCAAATGACTGTTCCAAAGTCATGCAGGTAGGGATGGCAGAGGTAGGGCTAAGAGGAAAGTCCTTGGCCTTGCAGAATCCTACCTATTTGAGGGAGGAGACAAGGTCTTCGGACTCTGAAAATGGTAAATATATAAGACTCATGGGGAAGCAAGGCCCCTGTGCCAGTAGGTACACACACACACACACACACACACACACACACACACACGGAGTAAAGACCGTTCGAGGGGATGAGCTATATGCCTAGCCTGTTTGTTTTTAACTTATTAAATGGATATGGTAAAAGCTTATGTGGATGTGGTAAAAATTTAAACATGACACAAGGGTGAAAATCAAGACCCCTCACATCTTCACCTTCTGTCCTTAAATGTTTCTTTCTAGAAGCAACTACTAGTATTCTTGTGTATCTTTGTAAGAATATTCTTTACATTCACAAGTAATAGTAAATTACACGTTTTCTCTTTTTTTTTTTAATTGGCAGCTGGGCATGGGGGACACGCCTATAATCCCGGCACTCTGGACACTGAGGCAGAGGGATCACGAGTTCAAGGCCATTCTGAGCTACAGAGCAAGTTCAAGGCCAGCTTGGATTATATAATGAGACCCTGTCTCAATCAGCAACAACAGCAACAACAACAAACCCAACTATCTGGTACATGCTTCCAATCCCTGCTACTTTGGAACCTGTGTCAGGAGAATCTTAAATGCAAGGCCAGCCTAAGCAAGGTAGCAAGACCTTGGCTCAAAATAATTAATTAATTAGTTTGACAGGATTTGAGGGTGATAAAGCACCCTTGGGTCATCAGTACCATGACAAACTCACTCCCACTATTTGGAAATTATCACAGAGTAACCCACAACTCTTCCCAACAATGTAGTATTCAGCTGGGAGAGGTACTGGTTACTCACTGAGCTGGTATTGCTGTGCACACAGTTGCCAGAGTGACTAGCCTTGAAGTGGAATTTCTGGGCCTAAAGTGGCTGTGAAAGAAGTTTGGGTTTGGGTTGGAAGAGTAAGGGGAGCTGGAGAGGAAAAGGCACTGACCTGGGGTGTGGCAGACCCACCAGAGAGATCCCAGGAGGCTGCGCTTGGGTCTCAGTCATGGGCCTGCTGTGTTCTGGTTCCGCGACTATACACAAGTTCTTAAATTCATCTAAACTTTTCTCATGTAAATGGGGAGATCAATATGTACCTCACCGATTTATTGTGAAGTTTAAATTCTTTTTCATAATTGTATATGGGAAAATGAGTAGATGTACTCTATATTAAAAGCAGCAATTATCTCTGGGTAGTTCATTTGAAATGTTTAGTTTTTTTTCTTTTCTATTTTCCACATTGTCCATGTTGTCTAAGATTGCTACAACGTACATGCATTATTTTCAGTCAGAAAGAGAATACATAGAGTATAGATAATTTCAGTGGGACAAAGAGAGAGGTGGTGGTGGAAGCCACAGTGGCTGATACTTGGTCGAGATTACTTGGCAGAGACCGATGGTTCACAGAACAGAGTTGGCGAGAGGGCCCTCTGGGAACGGGGCATGAACAAGCCACAGCGCAGATCCGTACGGCATAAATGGGGGAAATCCAGTGAGCCGAAGAAGCAGTGCTCTTGTGCTCATTTCGTTCTTTCATCTGTTCCTTTTCGGCCAGGCCCGGCGCTCTCCTGGGGACATAATGCACTGTGGGATTGCTGGTGGTGGAGAAGTTCACGGGGTGTGTGAACTTGCTCCTACAAGATGTCTGTGCAAGAGCAGTGTGCGCCTCTCTGAGAGCTGATAAGAGACCTCTCCACGGAGTTAGACCACGGCAGTGGAAAATAGTGGGTGCTGCATGCGGGGAGGGGAGGATGCAGTGAGGGGTGGCCTTGGGGCACGCTGGGCCTGAGTGCGGACAGCACAGGACAGGGCCAGAGATGTGGCCCTGCCAGACTGGCTGGGCCCTGGGGCTGTGGAAGGAACTTGGGGTTTTGTTTTGACAGCAGTAGAAACTGTACGAAGGCTTAAGTCCACACAAGGCATAAATTCGCTGGGGTTTTTAGCAGCCCTAATAGCTGCAGAGACTGGAAATATGTGAATCAGTGAGCCCCTTGGGAAGACAGGGGGATAACTTGAATGAGGGAGTTGCTGATGAAGATGCTAAGAAAAAAGGATGGGGTTAGCAGAGGAGGGGTGGGAGAGGAAGCGGGAGCAGTACCTGCGGGGGAGAGGCTGCAGCATGGAGCAGGGGAGGGGACCGTGGGCCAGGCACGAGATTATACCCAGCCACGAGGAGCCGTTGTGCCGTGCCATTCAACAGCTGCCCTCACACAGCACGGTCCTTATGTGTGCTTGGCCGTTTGTAACTGTGTTTTGCATGCTTGCCCCACTTAATCCGGGAAACTACCCTGTGAAGACGGTGCTATTGCTTGCAACGAATGCGTGGGTTGAGCACCTGCTCTGGGTATCCAACCACTAAGAGGTGGATCTGGGTTTTATACCCTGAATTCTGGTCCAGAGTGTAACCACCAAGCTATCCCACCATGGAAGCTTTTTGAGCAGGAGAAGGACGTGACCAGGGCTGTGACTGGAAAATCGATCTGGTGGCGGGGAGCAAGAAGGATGAGACCGGGGAGAGAGGCTTGGATGTGAGTAGTTCAAATGGCTGCGGTGAGGTTGGGGGTCTGAGACACAGTGGGAGAAGAGGAAGGGGCAGGGAAGGGTGATCTGCGGGGCACCTCGCATAGATGGGGTGTAAGACGTGTACCAGTTCTCTACTGCTGCCGTCACAATCTACTTTACACACAGAGGATTAAAAAACACCCACTTTGAAATCTCCTACTTCTGTAGGTCAGTGGGCAGGCATGACTGGTTTCTCTTAGACTCAAAGCTGAAATCAAGACATTAGCCAGCTCGGACTTGGGACACCTCACACCCATTCCTGAGTTCTCTTTTCGTTTGTTACTAGAGATTGAACCCAGCGCCTTCACACTGAGCTTCATCCCCAGACGGGGTCTCACTAACTCCCTGAGTTGCCCGGGTTGAGTTTGAAGCTGCAATCCTTCTGCCTCAGCCTCCCGGAGGGCTGGGGTTACCGGCACGGTCCACGAACCAGGGCCTCATTTTTCTTGTCAGAATTCAATCCCCTGCTGTTGTAAGACTAAAGTCCCTGTTTCCTTGTGCGGTATCACCTAGTCACACTCAGCCCCTAGAAACTACTCTCTGGCCCCTCTGTCTTCAAGGTCAAAAACAGTGGACCATTCTCTTGCTTTGCGTACCTCCCACTTCCTCTTCTGCCAGCAGCCAGAGAAAATTCTCCACCTTTACATTTATGTATATATGTATGTGTTTACTTATTTTTGAGGCAAGGTCTCACTATGTCATTCAGGATGGCCATGAACTCACTGTGTTGTCCAGGCCGGCCGTAAACTTGGGGTTCTCTGCCTTTCATGGGCCCCCGAGTCATCTTGCTTTTGCCATGTGACAATCATGGGGATGATATGTAGCTGGGATAAGGGGCCATCTTAATATCTGTGCAACCAGTCTGTGTTCCTGGGTCTTGGGAGGCTGTGTGAGGAGGGACATAGGAAGAGGTGGTGTGGGCAGGGGGCCTGAGATTTGGGAACTGAGTCACTGGGAACAGAGTGGCTGCAGGACCTGTGCTCAGGACAGTGGGTAATGAGTGAGGTGGGCCTTGCAGTGGACACGTAAAGCAGTCAGCAAGGGGCACTTCCTCTCAGCACAGTGATGATGTGACACTGACTTTCACCTTTGTATCAAGACTTACCACACAGAGAGAGAGAGCACTAATGCTGACGTCTGTGCCTCTGCCACACAGACGAGGGTTTCCAGCCTCCCTACTCCAGATTCCCTGTGCTCTGTCTGTGTCATTATTTCCTCATCAACGACCACTATTCTGACCTTGATTGCCACAGACCACTTTGCTGGTGCGTGGACTTCATCTAGACAGTCATATAGTATGTCAGTGCGAGTCTCATCAACTCACTGGTGATGGGTGGGGCTATAGCTCAGCGGTAAAGCAGGTGCTTGGCATGCACAAGGCCTGGGTTCAGTCTGCAGCACCCAAGAAAGAAATTTATGGGGTGCTCGCTGTGTTCCAGATACCCTGCCAGACTCTGGGGTGCAGCCGTGATGAGACAGACAACTCGTCCCAGCCTCGTGAACCTAAGCTCACCCCAGAAGTAGAGTTTTACTGTTGGAGGCTGCCAGATAACCTAGGTTAGAGCGTGGGCAAAGAAGAAAGAAGGCAGAAGCTAGGCATGGTGGTGCACACCGGCAACGCCAGGTACATAAGAGGCTGAAGCAGGAAGACTAAGTCCGAGCCCCTCCTGGGTGACTTCATGAGACCCTGTCTTAAAATAAAAATTTAAAAAGGGGATGGGGATGTAGCTCAGTGATAGCATACTTGCCTAGCACTTGCAAGGTCTTGGGTTTGATGCCCAGTACTGCAAACCAACCAACAACAACAACACAAAGAGGGTAGAGATGGAACAGTGGGAAAGGTGAAGGGTGGGGAAGTCGGAGCCTGAAAGAATCGAAGGGCAGAGTGTCGCGGAGGCCAAAGAAAGGGTTCTTCAGCAGGGAGGGCGTGAGCAGCGGTGTTGCATCCGCTGAGCGGTTAATTAACACATGTGTATGGGGTGCCGCTCGGTGCAAGGTGGAGAGGAGTACAGAGCCCTGCAAAACTCCCCTAATGATGACCTCTGCCGCGCCCAGAGACATAAGGGAAGGCCCAGCGGGGCACCAGGACGTTCAGATGCCGTCATGATACTGCCCAGCTTGCATCCTCTGTGCTTTCTGTGCCATGGAGGCTAAGGTTAGAGCCCAGGGTTCAACTCCCGGGGACATCCGCGACCTCCCGCTTTTACCCTGCCCTGTCACTCTGACCGCAGGCGCCCTGGCCTTTTCCTGACCTTGTCCCACTCCTTCCTACTTCAGGGCCCCTGAACACATAATTTCCTCTGCCTAAAAGACTTTTATCCCCCTCTTAGAAAGACCTAGTTAACTCTACTTGCTGTTATTCACCTCTCATAGCAAAGCTCATCTCTTTAAGTTGCCTTTCTGAGGGCTGGGGATGTAGCTCAGGGGTTCCGCCACCTGCCTCGTACGTGCAAGGTTCTGAGTTTGATCCCTGGTGCCAAAAAATAAAGAAGCCTTGCTGACTTTCCTGCTTAAAAGAGCTCCCTGTCTTACACTCCCACGGCTTGCTCTGTAGAACTTCCTTTCCTGGGGAGGGGGAAGGGAAATAAAAGGAGCACAACCATTGTGTACTGCAGTCATGTGCTAATAAAAATAAAATTCAAAAAACAACTTTCCTAACACATCTTTGGTGAGTAGTTGTGCAGCTCTATGACCACTGCATGTGTGTTTACTACTCTGAAGCGTTCGTGACCCCAGTGAGAGAGGGACCCGCCTGTCAGTGATTCCTGAGCACTCCTTAGAGAGGCCTGTGTGGATGAGCTTCTGACTGTGGATCCAGGAGCTATATGACCTTGGGTATGTGGCTTGCTTCTCTTTCCTGGGACTTGGTTTCATCACCCATGCAGCGAAGGGATAGATTCTCAAAGGGTCTCCCCAGCCTGGTGTCTGTGGGTCCCATGACTCACACTCATAAGACTGATCCTGGGCCCCGGCCGGGACATTGGCTCTGGTACTAGCAAGTGCCGAGGAGGGAGCTGGGAATTCTAGTCCTGCTGTGACGGGACAGAGGGGCACAGTCGAGGACAATGGTGGCGAACCTATGGCATGCATGTTTTTTGTTTTCTTTGAAGACAAAAGATGTTAATGTATGAGTTGTTTTTTCTCAACTAAAACTTCAGCATTTAGGTTTAATTTCGGTGTTGGTACTTTGTGTTAAATAAGCGGGTTGCATATTGAGCACCTAGTATTTTGGGTTGCAGTTTGGACTCTGGTCTCTAAAAGGTCTAGGGTGTTCGGGGAAGACTTCCCAGAAGAGGAGGAGGAAGAGAATTGAATACAAGCAGAGGAGAGCTTCAGGTACCAGAGAACCACAAAAGCTCTGAGTGTGACAGCGGACAGCAAGGAGAGAGCCTGCCTATACCCCGGCAAGCGTCCAGCTCCCTCTGCTAGAGGAGGCCCTGGCTCTAGTTTCCTGATGCTCCTGTGACAAAAGATGCAAGGCTGAGGGCTTACTATCTTACTGTTCTGGATGTCAGCATCCAAAGCCAGCCTCACTGAGCTCAAGTAGAGGCACGGACAGGCTGGCTGTGTCTGGGGCTACTGGGTGAAAGTGGTTCCCTTGCGTTGTCCAGCTTTTAAAGCCTCCCTCCCTTCCCTGGCTCATGGCCCTGGATCAAGTCCCCATTTTCTCCGAGCCAGCCCTTGTCGCCCGCCTTCCATCAGGGCTCGGGCAATTACACTGCACAGTCAGGCAATCTGGGAGTCTCCTGATCTCATGCCACTGATACCTCATATCTGTGAAGCCCCCAGGCCATGGGAGGCTGTGTCCCAGGGACTAGAGTGGGGACATCTCGAGGAGCCACATTCAGCTGACCACACACTAGGGTCACCGGTGTCGCATCTGGACCACTGTCTCACACTAGTGGCCTGGTCCTGCTTGACTTATGTGACCCCTCTTTGACCTGAGTTTTCTCAGCTGTAGTTAAGGAAATATTCGTGCATATCTCCCTTGTTCTAGGTATCTATTGAGCTATGATAACCGCCCCAGATTTTGGTGGCTAAAGACAAAGATTTTTTTTTTTTACTTTTCGTGATTCCAGGGATGGGCTGGGCTCAGCTGGGCAATTCTTCTGCACTTTGAGATGCTGGCTGCGTTCACACGTGCATCTGTGCTTATCTGGAAATGGAACTAAGCGTGGGGTAGCGACACGTGGCCCCTCTAACCCTCGATGCTGCTTCTGGCTGGAGAGCTCTGGTCCCCTCACCCCTGTCTGGGCTTCTCTGCAGCGGAGTGGAGTCCAGCCTCTTCACATGGGAGCAGCTTCCCAACCAGGTGAGGTCACCAGGTGGGTGGAGCCCCTGAGTGGCACTTGTGCTGTGTTGTGCTGGTCAGACAGACCCCTACCTCTCTGGACAGTCTCACTATGTAGATCAGGCTGGCCTCGAACTCGCAGCAAACCTTTTGCCTCAGCCACCCGAGTCTGGGCTTACAGCTAGCTATGCACGACTATGCCTGGCTGCACAGTCAAACAAACAGAAGCCCAAGGCCTTAAAATACGTGGGAGCTGGGCGTGGTGGCACACACCTGTAATCCCAGCACTTGGGAGGCTGAGGCAGGAGGATCACTGTCAGTTTGACACCAGCCTGGGCTACATAGTAAGTTCCAGGTCAGTCTCAACTACCTAGTAAGACCCTGTCTCAAAAACAAAACAAAACAAAACAAAAAAAGATATGGGGGTAAGGAAGTATAACATACTTAAGACTAGGGCCAGTGCTGTATGATTCTTCCCAACTTGCTGATGATTTCAAGTTTGTTGAAATAAATTTATTTTTTTTATGATCACATGGTCTCATACTAAGGCTTCAAAGAGTATATCTTTATAAAGTCAAATAAAAGCTCTGCAGCCCTTTAGAGACCTGTGAGGAACTGCAATGCTTTATCAATCCCAGATTGGAAACCCTTTCCTCAGATCATCTTTCCACTTGGGGAAGAAGTTGGAAGATCCTCAAGAATCTTTCCAGGAGATTTGAATCTTTTTGTAGCAGCAGGGCATTGTTTAGTGTCTTAAAATCCTTTATCTATTGGACTTTTGAGGATTTAAGATCAAAATGAATAAAGACAGAGAAAAATAGTAACAGCCAGAGCGTCATGGCTGTACCATGTACCATGCTCTTATTTTATGTCCTTGAGTTACAGGTAGCTACTGTCTATGTTCCCATTTGATAGATGATGAAATTTGAGCTCAGAAATAATTTATCAAACCAGTAGCTGGGCGTGGTGGCGCACGCCTGTAATCTCAGCACTTGGGAGGCTGAGGCAGGAGGATGGCTATGAGCTGGAGACCAGCCTGGGCCATACAGAGAGTTTGAGGCCAGCCTGACCCACTGTAGATAGTGAGACCTTGTCTCAAAACACAAAACAAGGGCTGGGATTTAGCTCAGCGGTGCTGCATCTGCCTCTCAAGCTCAAGGTCCTGAGTTTGATCCCTGGTGCCAAAAAACAAAACAAAAAAGAATAAACGAAGGAGCTAGGTTGCAAGCCTATGGAGACTCACTAGAGATGTTTCCATGAGGAGGTCATTGGGAATGGAGAGGAAGTGGGTGGGAGGGGAGACCGTGTGTGTTTACCAGGCAGAGGCACTGACAGGGCTCTAGGGGCCGGCAGAGGGAGATGGAGAAAGAGGTCACTGATGGAGCATGTACTTGGAGCATTGCTTCTAAATCCCTAAGGGTGCGGCGTCAGGGACCACAGGTGCAGCTTCTCCTTGTACCAGGCTTCCGGCAGGGATGGCGTCTGTGCCCAGAGATGGTGTGGGGATGCCTGCAGGCAGTGACCAAGTGCTTCCAGTTCTACCTTCCTCCACACACTGCTGCTCTCTCCCAAACGTGCTCCACACCGGGAGAGAACCCACATCTGAGAGGCAGTCCATTCTGGGTTTGAGGCTAGGCCCCGCGGTGTACTCATGTGATCTCGGCAGATTAAGCGTTGAGCTTTCATTTCCTGAGTACATTCATGAAGGCAAAAGCACCTGTGTAAAGTTGTTGCAGAGGGCTACCGAGGTAATGTGGATGAAAGCTGGCTGTGCAGTTTTTGTTTGTTTTTTCTCTAGACAGGGTCTTTCTATGTAGTTCAGGCTGGCTTTCAACTCACTAGCCTAGGCTGGCCCTGAATCAGGGTGATCTTCCTGCCTCAGCCACCGAGTGCTGGGTTTACTGCCGTGCACCACCACACCTGGTTGCCTGCGTATCTTGGCGCAGAATAACAGATGCTCTCTGAAATCTGGTTTCCTCCCTGTCCATCCCTGTATTTACGCAGCTCTGTCCCCTGGTCCAGTCAGCTATCCCGGCAGTGCCTGCCCAGTACCTGTGGCCCTTCTTTATCACGCTTCCTTGGGACTTGCCGCTTGTGGAACTGTCCCTCCCTGGTATACCAGAGCACTCTGGAGCACCAGAGCATTCATGTGGAGACTGGGGTGCACTTACTAGTTTTGTACTATAGGTGTTTGTGTTTGGCTTTAGAAGTCATGTAATACAGATTTGCAAAAAGTATTCATGTGAGCCTTGGGAGAGAGTAAAACACCAGTTTTGTACCTTATTCTTCGGTGGAATCTGGCAGACCGCTGGCAGAAGCCAGGGAACTTGGTAATGACATTTGGATTTGGTGGAGGGACAGGCAGGTGAATGGTGCCCTTGACCAGTGCATCTGGGAGCGCTGGTGTCTGTGAAACTTTTGTGTTTGGAAAAATCCTTGATAACTTGGGCTGGACTGGAGGTACAGGAAAGCTTCACCGGTTGGAATGTGGTTACCATGGAGAAGCTGTGTTTCTAGAAATCAGCCTGAGTTTGATGCTGAATTGAGTTAGAGCTGAGACCAGACTGGGGGCCGGAGAAGACAGGAGCTCCCTCTCAGGAGCCCTCTGCACCGCAGCTGGAGGGGACACCCTGCCCACTCAGCCCTCACATGAGGCGGGGCCTAGCTGTGACAGGTGCCCCCTGCGGGTCTGGAAGGAGTGTGGGGGACACAGCGCCTGGGCCAATGGAGGAAGAAGGTCACAGTGTGTGTGGGTCTTGGAGAAGTGGCCTCTGATTTCCCCGGGCCTCCTCCACGTTCTCTGGGCCGCCCAGCCCGTGACCTGCTGCAGCCCAAACTTCCAGGCCTCTGTCCTCCTAGGAGGTTGTCTCTATCTCCTGTCAGCATCTGCAGGTCTTTCCCCCGGTCCCCAACATTTCAAGACGGATGGTGGAGACCTAACCAGTGCACTCCTATTCCTCAGTCCCTTTTCCAGGAGAAACTTGGTTTGTTTACCTCGGCTGCTGATTTCCTTAGTGGAGATAAACAGCAGGACATGTGGTCCTCTGTTCCGTTAAAGAGAACATGAAATACTCAGCCATGAAATGAGCACGCCATCTCTTACCGCCATCTGAACGAGCTGGTCCAGGTAGGGGACGGAGCTCTTTCTGACAGTGAAGTGCACAGCGCCTCGATGCCGCTGGGAAGTCGGGAATCCGCAGGATAACATTTTCCCAGGATTCTCTGCAGTATAGAACGACTTTAACTCATCTCAGCTGACTCTCACAACAACCCTAAGAGAGCTGGGCGCAGTGGCATTCACCTGGGACCCCAGTACTTGTGAGACTGGGGAAGGAGGATCGCTGTGAGTTCAAGGCCAGGCTGGATTATATGGCAAGACTCTGTTTCAAAAAAAATTAATAAAAGTTTAAAAAATAATCCTTTGAGCTGTCCTAATTATTGACATTTGGTGGATGGAAACAGGCTCAGAGAAGGGGCAGTCACTTGCCAAGATTAGATAGCCAGCAAGTGGCAAAACTAGGATTCAAATCCAGGCCCCAAGTCTGACGCCTAAGCACTCGCCTGAAGAACTGCAGGGCTCTGTGGGGTGGACACGTGGGAGGCAGAGCTCGGGGAGACATGGAGAGGTAGGCGCTCTGGGGGACAGTGGATGGGCCCAGCAGGACAGAGTAGGGACTTATTAGGAGCCTTCAATGTGCTGGGTTCTCCCCCAGGAACCGCTGTCCTCCCATGCTTACTGCAGGGGGTGCCGGGCGGAGCTCAGGGCGGTTCTCTGGGCAGCACCCTCAGGTTGATCCCCAGCAGTTTGAGCTAAAGGCCCCTCAGCTCCCCTGGGTCTCCTCCTGCCTGAGGGGCCAGGCAGTGCTACTTGCGCATCTGCTGAGACCTGAGAAAAAGCCTCAGCCCTCAGTACAAGTCCTCTCTTGGCAGGTCAGTGTCCCCCCGCCACGGACAGCCTCCCGTGATGATGGATCGCTGGCCCTAATGCACATATTATTATGAAATAGGTTTATTACACTCTAAATCTCTCACTAATGTGCCACTATTTAATCCCTTTATCCAATTCTCAGCCTCGAAGGCTTGGCCACGGCTCTTTCCACCCCGCACTGGGTTTGGATGGTTTATTAGATGGTTTTTGACCTGGTGGCGGGCCCAGTGTGGGGCTCTTTAGCGGAACATGGAGGGGAGGGGCCGTGAGCCCCAGAGGCCGGTGCCTCGAAGGCTTGGCCACGGCTCTTTCCACCCCGCACTGGGTTTGGATGGTTTATTAGATGGTTTTTGACCTGGTGGCGGGCCCAGTGTGGGGCTCTTTAGCGGAACATGGAGGGGAGGGGCCGTGAGCCCCTCAGAGGCCGGCGAGGGCTTGTCTGGGAACCCCCCACGTGGTGCTTCCTAGTGGGCCCCTTTGCCTGCCCATGCCACCTTCCCTCCCCGCCTCTGACACCCACTTCCGGGTGCCTGCTGCCTTTCTGCCTCTTGGCTGTCACTGCCTGTGTGGCCCCTCTCGGACTCTCTCATCTTCTGTCTTCCTGCAGCCAGGCTGTGGCCAGGGTGATGGGCGCCAGCTCCCCTGGATGGGGAGAGCTGTGCTTCCCAACCCTTCGCACCCACTTTCAGCCCCACTGTTCCACAAGCTCCTGTGCTTCTGCTGGGTCTCTGTCCTCCCAAATCGCTTCTTGGCCCCGGCCCCACTAGTCAGCCACCTTCCTCTCTTGGTACCTGGCACCACTGTCCTCTCTGCGCTCCTCCCTCTGCCCGGCTCCCAGGCCCACAGCAGCCTCTGCCTCCTCTGCCTCCGCCCTTCCCTCCTCACGCCCATCTGGCCTCCACCCACCGGCCTCGTCTCCCTCCCCGGCCCGTCTCTGTCTCTCCCGGTGTCTCTTCCTGAACGTCCCTCCCCACGCCGACACACCAGCCGGTAAAGCAGCCAAGGCTTCCTGCTGTCAGCTGGGGAATAGATAAAGATAAATGATATTATGTTAAATTCCACTTAATGACAAATTTTTAATTTTCTGAACATGGTCATTTTCTGGCTAGTGAATCAAGTGGAGGGAGCTAATTACATGAAGATCTGAACAAAAATAACTCCTAATTTTCAAGGATAATGGAAGAGAAATGTTGGAGATTAATGGCACTATTTATCTTTTTTAAATTTCTATCTTTCTCTGTGATAGCCGTGCTCCCCAAGGAAAATATTCATAAAATGAAATTGAAGTCGTAACTTAATAGGTTATTAAAATTTTTGAGTGCATATCACTTTCCTTCCGCAGCACTGTAAATTTAAATTGAAGTTTGCGGCTCCCCGAGTCACCAGCGGAGTTTTTTTTATGATGGCACAATAGAGAGAAACATGCATCTTTGTCAGGAGGTATTTGCTAGTCTAATTTTATGGCAGGCCGGATTATCAGACGGGAATGGCAGCGCGGGGAAGCTGACAAGCCCGCAGCCGGCAGCCATGTGTTTCCATTAGCGCCCGGAGCCGTCCGGGTTTCTCCGGACTCTCATTTTCCACTTCAGTCTTTTATCTTGATTTAAAGTGAGGGCGCCCACTATTCAGGGCCTGTCATTTTTCTCTCTCACGCTCTCAGGGCTCTTCCTCACTTCTCCCCTCCCGCTTCCTCTGCTCCAGGGCCCTGATCCCTTTTATCTCCTCTCCAGCCTGGGCAGCGCTGGCTGCCCTGCCTCCTGCCTCCTTCCCCTGCCTCCCAGCCCCAGGACTCCACCTGGGAGGAAGGCGAGACAGGAGCCGGCTGGCGGGGCAGCTGCGAGAGTTGTTATAAATCTGAGTGAAGCCTTCTCCCAGCGGTCTCATCAGGCCCACCCTCCGTGGGGCAGGGCGGCCTGTGCGAGGTTGGCTCTCCAGGCCCAAGCCCATCAGGGCCCTAATTGAGTGTTAATGGAGTTCCAAGGGGAGGGGCACAGCTGTTGGCTCAGGGGAGGAGGGCGGCGGGTGCATCAGCACCGTCCCTCCTCTGCCGCTGTCTGTCCTCGCCCAGGTCTCTGTTCCGGTTTCGTCTCTGAGTCTCAGAGTTGCAAACCTAGGGGAACCTTAAAGAACCTGGCCCAGTGCCCACTACTGGTGGATGAACAACTCGTCTTGAACTCGGGATGCTCGGCCTCCCTGGCCCCCTGGCTGCCGGGGATGAACTGACCTCTTCCTGCCTGTCCCCTTTCCTTTCCCCTTGCTGTGGACTCCGCATTCTCCAGGGAGCAGCCTGGATACCCAGGTCGTCTCCCTCGTGCCCAGCCTCCACCATCTCCTGCCCGGGGCCTGTCTTCCATCCTCTCCATGGAGGTGGCCCTGCTCCTGTCCCCATGCTCCCTCCCCTCCTGCCCTGTGACAATCTTTCCCACACATCCCAGATCCCAAACGCTCTCCTGCCTGTGCACAGAGACCCACTCTGTGCCGACAGGATTGGGTGTCCTCCGCCGTGTGACCAAGCTCACCATCTCCCCACTGCAGCCCCTCCCCTCTGCCCACCGCGCAGCCGTGGGTGTCAGCTCTGCACGGGGCGGCGCCTCCATGCCTTTGCTCCTGGTGTGCCCACCGAAGTATCCCACCACCCGTGACCCACTGCAAGTCCTGCCCTGGCTGGACTCTTCCTTCTCTGGCCTCTCCAGGCGACCAGTGTGGCGTTTGCTACCTGCTTACGCACTGTCTGAGAGGGCCACTGCACTTGCTCTGACTCACACCATGCAGGGCCAGGGACCCTCTGTTTAGCTCACATGCCCTCTCCAAGTGGCCACAATGCTCACCTGGGTCACATCCTGCCCCCCAATGTCCCATGCATGGCAGTGGAGACCCCTGGATAAGGCAGCCAGCCTGGACAGATCTGCAGTAGGTTGGTGCTGAAAGGGATCTGAGATGTCAATGTCCTCATTTTACAGATGGGAAAACCGAGGTTTGGCCAGAGGGGCAGTGCCCAGGGTTCTGCACTGAGTGAGGAAGGTGGTTGATCCCCGAAACGCGGCTCCCTCGGCCTCTCCAGTCTGGCTGGGGTTCAGGCCACTGCTGCCACTTGTGTCAGATGGCAGTGGGGTTCTCCATCTCAGGGCCTTGCTTTCTCTTCACCATGACAGGGAAAAGCAGTCCTGGGCCACGGTGCTGCCCTCAAAGCGAGGTTGGGAGCAGTTGGGGAAGCCGGCGGCAATGAGCATCTCCTTGCCCCTGTGCGCCCCCAGCACTCCAGCCCGTTCGGCCCCAGCCCTCGGTACTCCCTGGCCTGGTCATTTCCAAGGTTCTCGGCCCCTCCCCCTTGCCGGCCCCCCCATCCTCGCAGGCGTGTTGCAGGCATGTGGCAGGCGTGTTGCAGGCATGTGGCAGGCGTGTTGCAGGCACGGCCATTTCCACTTGGCTGGCTAAGCCACACAGGTCAGGTGGCGAGTGGCCTGGGCCACCCCCACGCCGTGTTCAGCAGTGGAGCTGAGCGGAGGCGGTGCCTGGTTCCCCAGCCACAGTCTCTCGTTAGAAAGAAATTAAAAGCCACTCAATTTTGGCTAATATCCCTCTGAAGGCCTTTAACTCCACCTGTGACTAACCCATTCATAATCACTCTGTTTTAGTGGCTCAGGCTGATGTAGCCTCAATTAATTTGGGAGGAGAGATAAACGGCCATTCCTCTTTGTCTCCCATCCCTTCCTCCCTTCCTGCCCTCTGCCTCCCCCGGGGCTTCTCAGCATCTCTGTCTCTCTGCCTCTGCCTCAGTTTTTCTTCCTCCTTTCTCTGGCTCAACTCTCTTTCTTATCCCGACTGCTCAGCGGGTCTGCTTCTCTTTTGAAGTTCCTGTTTTGCCAACTCTTCTGGTGTCTCTGTGAAGTCTTTGTCTATTTCCTCTACCTTTTGTCTCTTCACTGGCTCTCTTCCTGTCTCTTTCGCTTCCTTCTTTCCTTTCCTTCACCCATGTCTCTACCTGTCTGGGCCTCTGAGCTCCTGTCTCTGTCTCTCCCCGCTGTTTCCTTTGGTCTCTGCTTTGGCCCTTGGGCCATCTTGGTCGTCTCCGCGGCTCTCTAAGTGTGTTGCCCCCGAGCGCGCCAGCGTGTCTGCCCCTCTGTTTCTGACGCTCTTTCCGGTCTCATCTCTCCCGACTTGGCTGTCTTTCCCTTTGTCTCAGCTACTGCATCTCTTGCCTTCAGTTCCTGCTTGTCCGCCGCCCCTGCTGGGTTCGCCCTCTCTCCGCAGCCCGGTCCCTCTCACTTCCGCTGTCCCTTCCTTGCTTTCCTTCCCCATCAGCCGGGACTTTTCGCTCCCCCTCCCCCGTGGCTCCAGCCCCTTTTCCCTCTTGGTGCCTCCGACCCCCACCAGCCCACAGGTTCTTTGTCTTCCCTTCCCCTCTCAATTATTATTAATGATAAAAGCTCAAACATCACATCA